AGGGTGTCAAGCCAAGCTGGCAGGCGTTTGGGCACATGCGTTATTTAAGCAGAGCGCCGGGTGGGTGGAATGCGTGGTACACTCTCACCACGCTTCCTGAGTACATGACGACCTTGGACAAGCCGTCCAAGTGGAGTAATTGGAAGAGTAATTTTACGTGGTCTCTTCCCCCTCCCCCCAACTTAACCGCCAGCTGCGTAGATACAATAAGCACCCGGCCTTAATGGGAAGGAAATGCGCTCTCCCTAAAGTACCGGGAGAGGCATGGGACCACATAATGCAGAAAGGTCTCTATCTGAAGACAACCGCCCCACTAGATGACGGGGGTGAGATCGTAGTTCCCCAATTTCGGGTACCCCATCCGGACTGGTTTAAGGATGAGGGTTTTTTGTCTCTTTGTAACTTGAGCACTATGTTCAGCAAGGGTAGGTTTACTGATTTGATCAAGTCTTTCCCGGATGGGTATGCTCTGTTTGATCTCTAACCATGTTTTCTTTTCTTGTTTTGCAGAAGAAGCAAAAAGAATGGTATCGCCAGAGAAGACTCCGGCTACCTCTGCCATCCTCTTAAGGAAGAAGCAGCTCGAGGAGAAGAAGGCGGCAATGGCCGCCAAAAATGCCGGGGTAGTCTTTTCTGAACCATCTTTCTGTACACATTATTTTTATTATTATTTTTTTTTGTCGGATGCACCTTTTACCTTGTTACAAAGGTTTTTACCGGATGCATCCTATTGTGACTTTTCAGGCTGGGAGCCAAGTCATACCTCGCTCTGTAGCGAGTATGCAAAAACGTCCGGCTGGGAGTATTCCCAAGCTAGCCGCCAAAGTGCCTAGGGTGGCGGCTCCTGCCCCGGCTGCAGGTCAGAAACAAAAAACGCCTGACAAGGACAGGCCAACAACTGCAGGGAAGAGCCTGCAATTCACTCCCCACTTTGAAATGGTGGTGGAGTCGGCAAGACCGGATGCTCGTACTCAGACGGGCTCCGGTTCATTAGTGGCTGGGGGGGCTTTGACCCCATAGTCCGAGAGAGGTAACACTTCTGCCTTCGATCCCCCCTGGCCGCTTGGGCATATGAGAGTAAAAACCCAAGCAAGCCAATCCGGGGATTCTTCTGGACACCGATTGGATATTGGCGAGGCATATGCCCAATACCTTACAGATGATTCTATGCTTGCAGATACCACCTCCAGCCGTCCAAACTACCAGCAATATGCTAAGAGGATGGTCAAGACCATCACTCGGTCAGAGAGAGAAGCTGTGCCGGCTGTGCACACGGTCAATCTGGACCGGATCACTTCTCTCCTTGCTGAGGTACATAAACCGGATGGCCTATGTTTGAGCAATACCCCTTTTTTTACCGGATGCATGTATTTTGTTTTTATTTTTCCTAACACTTTTTCCGGCTGATATTGCAGACGCTGCTGAGAGTTGATGGGCTTAGCGTCCCTCTTCGCTAGAAGTAGGAGGAGGTAAGAGACGCTCAGAAGCGCGCATTTGAGCTTATTGACGTTTGCCAATTCAATGCCATTTCATATGACTTGGAAACTGAACAACGGAAGTTGCAACAGGAGGAGCTGCTGAAGAAGGCGGCTGAAGCTGGGGAGGCGGCATTGAAAAGAGTTGATGAGCTTGAGCTCCAGGTCAAAAATCTTCAAACTGACCTTAAAACCCTGGAGAATGCTGAGAAGGAAAATGCCGATCTCCGGAAGGCCAACAGCCGGCTGATAACTGAACTTGCAAACAATCAGGCGGCTCATAAAAAAGAGCTGGAACAAGAACAACTCCGCCTGATTGGAGAAAATGAGGCCGACTGCGAAGAACGCATGAAGCTCGCTTGGAGCCTGATCCACCCGGATTTTGAGTATGAATACTGGAATCTTCGATACCAGTATGCCTCTGAAGTTTACGAGGCTAAGGTGCTCGGAACTGACCCTCCTCCCGCTTTCGACGAGCGGGTTGAGCGCAACAACGTGATTCAGCCGGATGGGGCTAATCAAGATGCTCAGGCGGAGGATCAGCAAGTGGTGGAGCAGTTGACCGAAGTTCCAGTCGATGCAGTCCAACAGCCGGAGCTTCAACAACTTCAACCATAAACAATTTTTCTATCTTTTTTTCCAGCCTGCGAGTCGAGTATTTTTGTATGTATCTTTCCCGGACGGGGGTCCGATTAACATTTCCATATAAATATTTAATCTATTTAACCGACGCAGTCGGTTTTGCTATTCTACTATTTGCATTATGTTTTGGTTTTTTATTTATGCATTTTTACAATTTTTTACATTGTTTACTACTCATCCGGTTAATATGATCAGCCGTTCTATATATGCCAGATGAAGTAACGATACCATGTTATGCCCCTGAAATGGCTCTGTTTATTCCAACGGTAAACGGGCAGCTGTTTCATTGGCAGCCGGATGGGTGATCATTGAATGATCTACTCCTGCCCCGGATGGTAAACAGGCAGTCGTTTCATTTGGCAGCCGGATGGGTGATCATTGAATGATCCACTCCTGCCCCGGCTGGTATTAGGCAGCCATTTCATGGCAGCCGGATGGGTGATCATTGAATGATCTACTCCTGCCCCGGCTGGTACAATAAAATGCCCCTGAAATGGCCAACTGTTTACTCCAACGGTAAACAGGCAGTAGTTTCATGGCAGCCGGATGGGTGATCAGTGATTGATCTAACCTTGCCCCGGCTGGTACAATGAAATGGCGGGTGGGTTATAAAACCGTTTAGGTGGCTTTTAGATAATACCCGGTTGCAGTAACCCTCTAGGAATTTAATTTTGCCGGATGGACCACTTTTGGGTCCTTGTCGGGTGAAACCTAGATGCAATGGATCATTTCTAACGGCTGTAAATTTCTTTTAAGAGAATGTCGTTTGAGTTATTGGATCGCTAGAACAATGTACCACCCGGAAGGGAGTTGTTCTCTTCAACGATTTCACCCGGATGGGTGTCGCCGGATGACTGCTCTTTTTGGAGCAGTGGTTTTAACAGGTGTTCTTCCGTCTGTGATCTTGCACTAGACAGGTGCAAATACAATTGTATGAATGGAAATTATATGCTTTCACATTTCAATACTATTAAAAAAAATTACAAAATCCTTAGAAGTAGTACTTTTTCAAGTTATCTACATTCCAGGTACGAGGGAGCCGCATTCCGTCTGGGGTTTCCAGGCGGTATGTGCCGTTTCTAACTTCTTCAAAAATCCGGTAAGGTCCTTCCCAATTTGGGGTCAGTTTCCCTTGTTCGTTTGCCCTACTGGTTGCTTCAAGCTTTCGTAACACAAAATCTCCAACTTTTAGGGGGCTTTTACGCACCCTTTTGTTGTAGGCCCTCGTCATGCGCAGACGGTAGATTTCATGACGCAAGGCGGCATTGCCCCTTCTTTCAGGAAGAGTATCCAATGCCAGGCGCATGGCTTCCCAATTCGCCTCTTCATCATATAACATGATTCGAAGTGTTGGCTCATATAATTCAATGGGAAGTACCGCCTCGGTGCCATATGCCATAAGAAATGGAGTTTCACCGGTTGACCCCTTCTCAGTAGTTCTGATAGACCAAAGAACATGAGTCAACTCTTCTGCCCAAAGACCGCCTGCCTTTTCAATCTTTTTCTTTATGCCGCCTGAGATGAGCTTGTTAAAAGCTTCAACTTGACCGTTTGCTTGAGGACGACCAACGGATGCAAAGTAATGGGAGATCCCTTGATCTTGCAACCAAGTCTTTAGGACAGGCGTTTCGAACTAGGGGCCATTGTCAAAGACCATTGACATTGGTACACCGAACCGGGTGATGACATTTCTCCAGATAAAGGAGATAACATCCTTAGTTTTGATACCCTTTACCGCCTCGGCCTCAACCCACTTGGTGAAGTAATCAACAGCCACCAAAAGGTATCTTTTGCCGCCTGGGGCAGGAGTGTATGGCCCCAAAATATCCATGCCCCATTTGGCAAAGGGAATTGGGCTGTGAATAGCTGTTAAATTAGTTGTCGGCTGCCTAATCAGCCGGCCAAACCTCTGGCACTTGTCACATCTTTTTACCAGATCTAATGCATCCGCCTCAAGGGTAGGCCAAAAGTATCCTTGTTGCTTGGCTCTTTTGGCTAGGGTCTTTCCACCAACATGCGATCCACAGAAGCCGGCGTGCAGATCTTCCAGTATTTCCTTTCCCCTTTCTGGGGTAACACACTTGAATAGCGGCTGCAAGTAACCCTTCCGAAAAAGTTCACCTTTGTGCATTACGAAGCTTAATACTCGTCTTTTAAGAGCAGCCGCCTCTGATGAGACACCCGGTAGAGTGCCGTCTACCAGGTAATCCCGGATGGGGTCCATCCAAGTGGAGCTTCGAATTGAACTCCAATGGGGTCATGTTCAATGCTTTTCTTTTCCATGACTTCCCAGAAGACTGACCTAGGCGTATCACATGTGGCGGATGATGCGAGTTTTGATAGTGCATCCGCCTGATTATTCTCGGACCTGGGTACTTGACTTAGATTGAATTCATCAAATGCCCCAGCCTCCTCTTTGACCGCCTGAAGATACTTAATCATCACCGGATCACTAGACGAAAAAGTTAATTTGGCACCGGTTCAAACTCCCCCTAAGGCACCGGTTTTGAACCGTTGGGGATTTGAGGGATGCCAAATCCTCAAAAATTTGGCACCGGTTCAAAACCGGTGCCAACTAAAGGCTTTGGCACCGGTTAACTGGTGCCAACTTCAAAGGCGCGAATTTTTATTTTTTTTATTATCAACACTATTGGCACTGGTTTTTATCAAGAACCGATGCAAAAAAACCCCACTTTAGGCACCGGTTCTGGTCCAAACCGGTGCCAATAGTGCCCAAAAAAAATAAAAAATAATTATTTTTTTTTTTTGCATTTTTTCACTTAAATTGTACCAAATAGTTATATATAATCATAATATACATAAAACACATATATTTTCTACAATAACTAGTAATATTACACTTTAAAAAACTTAAAAAAAAAAAAAAAAAAAAGGTTCTGATATCTATATGCTGCCTGTTTTGCAGTACTGGCTGGTGCATTTTGCTCCTTGTTGGTGCTTCCTACTGTGTCGCAATTGATTATGGGTCTGCTGGTGGGGTGCTACTGCTACGCTAGTTTCCTGCTGCTGCTAGTTTCTCAGGCTGCTACAGCATGCTCCCTTTCTTGCTGGTCTGTGTTGGTACTGCAGCTTGGCTGCTGTCCTTTTGTTGCTGCTGGGTGCTACTTGGGGCTGCTGCCTTGGTTCAGCTTGCTGGGAGTAATTCACAATAGAGAATCAACCTAAGTGGATAAAAATTGGGTACAAGAATGAAACGGAGATGAATTCATAAGCCAAAGGAATTCATAAGCCAAAAATTGGGATGCTGAGATGAACATATGGAATAGCTAAGCAAAGGAGGAGAAAGAGAGAGTTAGGAAGAGAGAAAAAAAAGGAGTTATAAAGGAGAGGGAGACTCATGCCATGGAAAGGCTGACTGGAAAGCTAATGATCCAGCCCCATCCAGGAGCTCGGTGAAATCAGCCACCGGTAGTAGATTTACACTAACCGATTTGCAGCTCCTTTGACTACTTTCTAAAGGGAAGGGAGTGCACAACCAACACAAGTGAGGGCATTGCTGTTTCCGGGATGTCCACTAATTTTCAGTCATCCCCTTCCAATACTTACCGTCCCCTGACTTACTGAGATGTTCCCAAGCCATTAATGACCCTCCCACCCAATACTAGGAAACATATCAGGTACAGGGAGGAAGCACTTATTGACTTCATTGGATTCCAAAAGCATATTTCAGCACAAAATTTCTTTGTTTGGTACACAATTTTCTTCTCACATATAATATTCGTCAAAGGCAGTGTGGATAGAATAGCATAGTACAACTAATGACAATGTTCCAGCTCATGTGCCTCGTTTGTGTGATTGCAAAAATTACTATCCTTAATTAAGATAATTTCTTATTGTAAAAAATGAAGAGCTTGAAAGTAAAAACCTTATTTGCTTCATATCTTGTATAATTTTATTCAAATGTACATATTAGACAAACAAAAGAACCAGAAAAGCTAAAAAAAAGGAACTCACTTCTTTATGTAGTCTCTCAATTTCAGCAGCATTTTAATCTATGGCATCAACTTTTTGTTCAAAGAGGCCAAGAAATCCAAACTGCAATATCAAGAAAAGAATTTGCATTAGATGCTAATGTGTGTTAAACGAACCATTGCATGGCTGCATATTGCAGTAATAATACCTTCGTCATGGGCCGTTGATCCGACTTTCTAAAAAACTTTAGTTCGTAGTAATCCAGCCAATTTTGCTTCTTTTTCCTCAACTAAATATGACAGCTTATTTGCATTATGAACCACCTGAATTGCAAAATCGACCCCTCATGAGCATTCGCACTTAACGTTCATAGATTCAATAAATGAAAGGGAGCAAGAAACTGAAGATGCCTGACCTGATGCGTGAGATAATGATCAGGGTGATTGACCAGAAAAAGTGCTCCACAAGCTCACTAATTGATTCATCAGCATCTGGGGGAATATTTCGTACAAGGACAATGAATCACCGTTACACAAATATTCCATCCTATTCAAAGTTCAATGAATCACCGTTACACGAATATTCAGTTTACAACTACAGTGACTATCAAATATTCAAACGTTCCTAAAGAATGTCTTATAGTTCTTGTTTATTAGGGAGGAAGACCAGTAGTCAATGACTATTTGTCAGTCAAAAACTTTTAGCAAGAGAAGTCTCGCTGCAACTGTAGGGATCTGAACATAAGGAGGTGTGACTAACATAAGTTATGAGCTAAAATCGAATCGCAAGAGACAAAAGATGATCTTACCGTAAATTGATCAGGAAGTCGTCTTTCTGCTGCCATAAACTGCAGTCGCATAGCTGTAACCATTGCATATTCCACCACTAAATTAGCCCAAAACCGAAGCCGTATGGAAGCAGTTATTGCCAAATTGGCCAAAAGATTGATAATAATTGAAAGCAGAAAAATTTTAGCACCCAAGATGCTTAACCAATTTTGTATGAACAGAAAGTTCTGATAAAACTCAAGCTTAGACAAATTTAAATCTCATTCACAAGATGAAAACCGCCTCATTTCCTTTCCACTTGGATCCCTCGAGACAATGGCCAAACTTTTGGACACGGTAAGCTCACCTAATACCAAAATGAGGAAGGCAAAAGGGAAAAGGAAAAGAGTCTAGCTTCCTTAAGCATACAACAGCAACAAGTATACAGCAGTGATAGTACAACAGAAATATTATATCACAACATAGCCAAGTGCAGTCAATTGCTTTATACATGAAAATGTAGCAGTAGTCATATCTCGACTAGCAATCAGTGCAGCAATATTAGCAATAATGAAAACAGGCCAAAAGGCACCACCTGAAAAGGCAAATGAACATTTTCTGTTAGTGTTTCTTTTTCCAGAACTGGATAGAGCAGAAGAAAGCGCTTTTTAGTCTACAGATAACACCCTTACCCTTCATCCAACCTGAAGTAGATAAAAGAACCTACATTGCTCCAACTATCCCATGCTATTTTAAGGTACCTAGGGTAGTAAAGTCCTAGTGAAAGCTTACACATTGAGTTGCTAATCAGAACCCTAAAATTACAAAATTACTCTTCATTTTCACCTTGCCACAGATGTTATATGGATTGTGGTAGTGTGAGTAATTCACAATTCCAAAATTAATTATATTCTTTCAATGCATATATAATTAGTACTAAGAACTAATGTCCATTCAACCATACTATAATTGGTATATATGCTATAGGTGGTATTTTATTCATAAGGTTATATATGTTTTGTAAACCTAGAACTAAGCATTGATTACTATGGAGTATATAGTTTTTGTAAATATCTTTGTAAAGTCCATGTTTCAAGCTTTAATTTTGATATTGGACTCACAATCTTGAAACTTTTCTTGCTAATTTTGTTATGATTCAAGTTGTTTGCTTCATTACATTTTGGAAATCAGTTGCATTTTTACTTATTAAAGTAAATTTAATCAGTTTACAATTCAGTCATTCACTTCTAAAAAATAGAAAGAAAAAAAAATCATAAAAAAAAAAGACTGAACATTATTATGAAGCATATACTTAAAAGAAAATACAAATGTTAGTTTCAATTTTATATAAAGGTATATGAAAATCAATTGTAATACGGTAAAATTGAAATTATAAACCAAATCAATGACCTCTAACACTAAGATGTTCAATGTGACCAAAGTTATTTTTCTTTGTGTTCTCATTTATGTGGTTGTTTGGTTATAATAAAAAAAATAGGAATTTGTGCATTTTTAGAATATAAAAAGGGATATGATACATGTAGCCCTAAGGTCAAAATATAAGAAGATTAAAAAGGAAAACACTTAATGACATTGATCAATGTGTGACTAGGTCATAAATTTCCAAATTTAAACTATTGATCAATCGACTAGGAAGTACCTATTAAGGCTCTATTCTTCTCACATTTTTTTTCCAGTTATTTAAGGTTTAATAAGTTCTGATAAGATACGAGCCAATAAGTTCTGATAAGATACGAGCCAATAAGTTCAAATAAGATAATCAATTCTGATAATATAAGATAAGGATTGATATGTTCATACATATAAGATGAGGGTTAATAATTTCTAATATGGTCTTGATAACGTGGACCCTATATAAGGCTCAATAAGATCTCTTAAAATAAGGTATGATAAGTACTGATAAGTACTGATAAGTTGACATAAAGATAATATAAGAGTTAATAAGGTTAGATAGACAAGTTCAGGATTAGATATAAGATAAGATAAGAGAAATTAAGGTAACAAAGAGCATCACCTAAATGTAAGAATTTGCTCATCTAAAGCCAAAGATAAAATGAAACTTAGCTTTTTGCATGATATGATCAGGTTATCTAAGGAGTCAATCAAATGTTCTAGCCATTTCCCAGGAAATACAAGATTAAATTAGTAAGGAGTTAAGTACATACAACTTTAAAAGTATGATGTATAAGGTTCATTATAGTCAACATATATAAATCAATTCCATATTCTTTAATTGACTCAGCTGACCATTCAATGTCCATATCCAAACAATGAAATAAATCTAAAATTCTTAGGATATCAATGTATAGAAAGTATTCTTGGGGAATGTCCATTAATATATACTCGAGTTTTTCACTTTTGTTCATTTGAGAGAGCTCTGAATTAATCAATCAAAGCCTTAATCCCATTAGTGGAGTCGGCCTGGGAGAGCTCTGAATGATTAAAAATAGAAAAAAAAATAAATAAAAAATGAGCGTGGGTGTACCATGTTCCGGGAGATCATCAAGCTAGTCTATTGCTTTTCATATGCAAATTGTCTTTGCTTGTGTGTGCAGTGTATGTGTGTGTGGTTGGGGAAATCTTTCCGAGTTTAGCTCAAAATCTTACCCTTAAGAAAGTCAAACACTCACTCTTTTTAGCATACATTAACTGTTCTGTATACAACCAGATCAGATAGGCTATAAAGCCTAAGACAAACTAAAAACAGCAAAACAATTCATTATTATGTGAAAATTCATACTGAAACTATTACTAGCTAGCTAATTTATAATGTTCTCAAAGTTGTATGTAAGTACCTTACATACGTTCGTTGACAGCTGAGAAATTGATATCACCATCACCATAGACCGATTTCCTTCTGGTGCACTCATTATCTTAGCTAGCTGTTATTGCAAAGTCTAATGTCAGATAAAGTAGTGAAAAACTTCAGGATAAATGCATATTTCATGATTGATCTATCTGAAGCATTCTCATATATATAAATTGACTTTTCAATGCAATTTAAGCTGCACTACTACTGGAAATTTAAGGAGCAAGTAGCTAGCTCAAGTTGAGAAAGGTGTACGAGCTTGCCTATCGAAAAGGAAATGTTGCAGTTTAATTTGATGTGTGAGCAAATCGAGCATCAAATTAGCTTCAGAGTGCATTGCTTATTTTGAGTATTCTTCTAGGATGGAGTTGCTATATTAGAAAACCATGTAATCTGTGTAAAATTTGAATTACCTAGCCTTCAGTCTCAGTAGCTAGCTAGCTAAGTTATCAATGAGGAACTGAGCACAGATTAAGGAAGACATGTACCTGAAATAATAAGGTAGATCTAGGGAGACACTAACTCTGCGAGCATGAAACTAAAATTATATATACATGTCCGAAATTAATAGTCACACAAACTATTTTAGGATTAATTTTCTTCTACTTTAATTTTCAAACCTCATAATTTTATAGTGATGGAGATAAAACCAATTTTAAAGCTCTAACAGAAACCCATCTTCCCATATCAGAAACATCATAACAGGAATACAGAACAAGGCAAATATCTACATCTGAATAAATATGAAGGTACACAAGTAAGAAAAATCTTCTGGCCATTGCACTCTAAAAATCAAAGAAAAACTGAGAATTGGGAGACTAGTAAAGAAGATATGCAACTATCAAGGGTGAAAAGATTACCTGGTGGTTAGGGTTAGCAATGTTTTTTTAAAACGAAAAAAAAAAGGAAAAAACCATTACCTGGTGGCCGGTGGCCGATGCACGAAGGACGGCTGAGAGGAACGGACGGTGGCCGGCGAAGGGTGAGTGGCGGCGGGTAGGACCTACTCTCTCTTTCTCCTACTAATTAAAACCAGAACCCTAAAATTACGAAATTGAAAACCAAATCAACGAAAAACCCTAGATTGCGAAGGAATTCAGTAGATTAAGAAGACCACATTACCTTACCTCGAAGCTGCTTCAATGGAGGTGAGAAAGCTTAGAATCGGCTTCAATGGAGAATATAGAGCACGAGTTCAATGGAGGCCAGAGATATGGAGAGAGAAGGAGGTGATGCTTCAATGGAGTGAGAAAGCTCGTAAACCCTTCAATGGAGAAGGTGAAATTCGGGATGGTGCGTGGAAGAGAGGGCGAAAACTAGAGTGAAAACAGAAGATGGAAAAAACGGGTGGAAAGAAAGAAAGAAAGAAAAGCACGCAGGACCCCGGTTTTTTTTTTAATTAGTTGGCACCGGTTTGAACCGGTGCTAATTAAATGAGTTGGCACCGGTTTTGGATCGAACCGGTGCCAACTCCCTATTTTCCAATCCCGCCCATTTCTTTTGGCACCGGTTTTCAAGAACCGGTGCTAAAGGGGGGTGCCTATTTGATTTTTTCTACTAGTGGATGGGTGGCCTCATAGTCACCGTTGTACTGGCTAACGATGAGTTGAGAATCTGAGCAGGCGTTAACTTTCCTTGCCCCGGCTGCCTTACACATGTGGATACCGGCTAGCAAGGCCTCGTATTCAGCTTCATTATTCGAAGCTTGAAACTTGAATCGTAGAGCATACTCGTATTTGTCCCCCTCTGGAGAATGACAAATTACGCCTGCCCCACAACCATTCAACGTAGAGCTCCCGTCTACATAAACTTTCCAAACTTGATCAGTTTTATCCGGCTGTATCGGCCTTGTCATTTCAACAATGAAGTCGGCAAACGCCTGACCCTTCACCGCCCGCCTGGGTTCGAAAGTGATTTCTAGACTTTGAATTTCCACAGCCTATTTAATCATTCTTCTGGATGACTCTAAAGTGGTCATAGGCCTTTTGAGCGGCTGGTCAGTGTAAACGGTAACCCGGATGAGCCAAGAAATACGGTTTCAACCGCTTGACTGCCTTGAACAATGCCAGACCGAATTTTTCAATTATGGGATATCGAAGTTCAGCATTCCGGAGGACGTGGCTTATAAAGTAGACCGGGAGCTGGTTGCCGTCTCTCTCGGCAAGGAGAACGGCACTCAAGGAATGATCTGAGATGGCCAAGTACATGTAGAGAGCCTCCTGGGGTAGGGGACTCACTAACCTTGGCAAAGAATGCAAGTGTTGCTTCAGCCTTTGAAATGCCGCCTCAGCCTCTTCACCCCATTCAAACCTCGACCTCTTTTTGATTGCTTGAAAGAAATACAGGCACTTGTCGCCTGACCGGCTGAGGAATCTCCCTAATGCCGCCAGGCACCCGGTAAGCTTTTGAGCCTCCCTGACGGTGCGAGGCGACTGCATGTCAATCACCGCTTGTACTTTGTCCGGATTGGCCTCTATGCCCCTCTGATCAATCAAAAATCCGAGAAACTTCCCAGACTCAACTCCAAAGACGCATTTTTCGGATTTAACATGACTTTATGCCGCCTGAGGTTGGTGAAGGTTTCTCGGAGGTCGGCTAGATGATCCGCCTGTATCTTTGACTTGACTATCATGTCATCGATGTACGCCTCCACATTCCTTCCAATCTGATCATAAAAGACCGAGTTCATCATTCGTTGGAAAGTGGCAGGCGCATTCTTCAACCTAAACGGCATCACCGTGTAGCAGTATAGCCCTTGATCTGTAACGAAAGCCGTCTTCTCTTGGTCTTTCTTCCACAAGGGTATCTGATGAAAGCCGGAGTAGGCATCCATGAAACTCATCAGGGCATGGCCGGCTATAGAGTCTACCAAATG